AAGACCCATTCTTTTCTTCTTCAGCTGATTATTTCCTGCTAACCTATGGAGTAAAGGTGGTTGATGATATTTGGGGAATCAAAGAATTGAATCCTGGGATCCCTGGGTGGCTCAGTGACTGAGCTCCTGCCTTAAGCCCAGGGCATGATCCTAGGGTCTCAGGATCGAGTCCCACACTGGGCTTCCCGCAGGGAGCCTGCTTCTCTCTCTGCCTGTGTCTCTGCCTCTCTCTCTTTCTGTGTCTTTTGTGAATAAATAAATGAAATATTTAAAGAAAAAAAAAGAATTGAACCCTATTTCCCTCTTTCCCGGACAAAGGCCAGACTCTGCCTAGACTGGGCTCTACCTACTAATGTCTGGACTGAGGAGATAGGGCCAGAATAGGGTTCTTGTAATTTTATTTTGCCAGATGATTAGGAGAAAGCAAGATGATTTGGAAGAGTTACTAATCCCTTTCCCATGTACTTCTTGCCTCACCAAACTCCCAAACTCTCCTGGGATGATGATGGAAGCAATTTTAAAAATTAAATGAAGGGTCAGTTAGATCTCACAGAGCAGGATAGAGTGGGCAAACAAAAGTAATGCCTTGATCTGACCAATCCCCCTCCTAACCCTCCCAGCCATCCATGGGGAAGAGGACCTTACTGAGTTAGGCCTTTTGCCTGGGCACCTCTTAGAGTGATTTCCTCACTTCCTCTGTTCTCCCCAGGTATCTTCCTCTTCTTGTGTCTGCTTCCCAGGCTGGTGTACCATTCGGCTCCCTCAGGAAGAGAGTTACTTTCTACCTCTTCCCAAACTGGGGTTCCTGAAATGAAATCTGTCCTTACTCCAGCTCTGCCCTCTTGGGGCAAGTAAACTCTAAGAGCCTCTTGAGAGGTAGTAGTGGCTGGTTCCACAGCCAGTCTCCCCACAGCCAGAGCTGGAGCTAATTTCCTCATCAGTTCCCTTAGAGGAGAAACATCTCAGCAAAGCAAATATTTGTTTGTGTTTTTTTTTTTTTTCCACAAAGACAACATAGTCTAGCCTCACATGGGGAAGTATATTCCTCTCATCAACATGGGTTTTTGTTTTTTCAAAGTCATAATCCTTGCTATATTTTGCTACGGAGCCTTTGACCACTGCCTGAGCTTGGTTATATCATGGGTCATGGTGTCAGCTGTGAGTCACTGAGATAGCTTTCTGATCCCCAAATCTCTTGTCTAGTAGAAGGGAGAACAAGATGTGAGCTCATTCCTCCTGCTAGTGGTTTTTTTCTTGTTTCATGTTATTTCTCCTTTCATAATATGTCCCAAGAAGGCATAGATAATTAGGTGGGGATAGGAGAACAGTAGTATTAGGTGAGATGATTTTTTCACTTGTCTGTCAGGTTCCTGCAGGAAACAGCTAATTTTCACGAAGCCTTAATTGAAGACAGTGTATGAAGGGAGTGCTTACAGAGGTCCAGGCAGACTTAAGAAAACCCAATAAGGAGTGGTGAAGACAGGGGACAAGCAAAGCAAAGTGGCACTCAGCACTACATGTAGGCCTATATAAGCAAGTGGGTATGGTGTTACTTGACCCTGGAAGAATTACAGCCATGTAAGTAAGGGGTCACTCAAATATTGTTGTGGCAAAGAAATGCAACCACTGCAAAAACCATGGCCTGGGAAGGGGGCACTGAGAGAAAAATAGGTTGACCTCTCTTTCTTCCTGCCCTCTAATCTCCTCCTTCACTGCATTGGCCAAAGCCAATTGGAAGCCAGTGGGCAAGGAGTCTGCCAGGGCAGAAGGCAAGGCAAAGAAGGATGGAGAATGGAGAGGTAAACAGAGTAACCAACACACAGTCAATATACAAAAATTTAAATAATGGCGCACTTATCCTACAAACCAAACCTCTATGCACAACTTACTGTACTTTGCATTAGAATGGTGGACTGTATGCACCAAAAGAAATGCAACATTACCTTATGGAAGTTCGATAGATAAATGACATATAGGACACGTGGTTTCTAATCTCAGGATGGATGGGGTTTGGATTTTTTTTCCCTATCCCTTCATATCCTATCCCCTTACTCTGCATTCCATGTCTGTCAGGGACAAAACAAAACAAAACAAAACCTATGTCAACATGTACATGCTTGAAGCATCACAGGTTTTTAGGAAGGCTATCCTGTGCTGTTCATTGCCCCACCTCCACCCCTTATCTTTCCCCACACACATCAGGAATCGGTTTTGATAGTATTGCTAACAGATTATCTAGTTTGACTTTGGTGGCAAATTGTTTACCATCTCCTAAGGGAAACTTCTAGTATTGAACAACTCTTGTTTTAAAAAGTTGTTAATATTAAGCCACAATATTTATTTAAAAATGTTCCTCTTTTGGGATGCTTGGGTGACTCAGGAGTTGAGTATCTGCCTTCAGCTCAGGGCATGGTCCGGGTCCCTGCGAGGATCCTGCTTCTCCCTCTGCCTGTGTCTCTGCCTCTCTCTCTGTCTCTCTCATGAATAAATACATAAAATCTTTAAAAAAAAAAAAAGTTCCTCTTTCAAGTGGCAAGTTTTATCACAGTTAGGTCCTTAAAGGATGTTGAGAAACAAATGGAGACTGGGCTTGAAAATTGCCTGAGCAGACAAAGCCAGTTTAGTCATACAAGCAAAGCTTAATTTAGCTCATTTTGTAAGACTAATTTGACAAAGGTCATTTCTTGCTTATGCCTCTGGAAATCATAACCAAAACTTCAACTGTTTCCCAAGATTGACACAAGATAACCACTGATCAATTTCCTATCTTTTATGAAAATTCTAATATTAAAACCAATCACTGTGCCCCTGAAACTCATTCTACCTGTGCCCCTGAAACTCCTTCTGTCTTGATTTGAATGCTCCTAGTTTGCAAACTTTTTGCTGTGTGCCCAGTAAATAAACTTTTTATTAATCACTACTTCCATAATTCATTGGTTTTCTGTTCTTTCTGAACTTTTGACAAGAACAACTTTAAAGCTGAAATCCTTTCAGTTTAGCTTGTAGCTTCAAGATAATTCAACACCATCCATACCATTCGGCCATGTTTTCATTCTCCTGAGATGTTTTGTTAAATGGAATCTGGAATCCCAGAGATTCTTCCTCTCATTCTTCCTCCCTGTGAGGTCGCTACAGGAGGGCTGGGTCCCTCAACTCAAGGCCAGAACTTCATTGAGACTGTCCTCCTTGCACAGCTGCCTCTCTGGATTCCAGTAACCCGCTTCTCTTTTTAGGCCTGGGCTCTGCAAAACCCTTGTGGTTTCCTGCACCCTGCCCACAACTTTGTAAATAGTTCCTGTTCATTATTAAATTGGCCAGTTGGAACGCACCAGCCATTTCTTGCCAGGACCCTTACACACTTGGTAGGATTCATTCACTGAGTAACTACTATATCCCAAGGAAGAATAAAATGATAAATTAGACAGTTAATACTCTCAAGGGGGCAGCGTGGGAAGTGGAGACAGCCACAGGAACAGATGATTGATTATGTCACAACTTGATAAATGATGCGGAGAGGCATTGGATGGGGAGGTGGGTGAGTAGAAGCATAAAATATTTAGAGGCAAGGGCAGATTCAGCGAAGTTGTCTTGGTGGAGACCTGGTCAGGAAAATTTAGAGGCAAGGGTGTGGGTAGAGTGGTCAGGATACTGCATGGACAGTACAGCCATGGACATCAGGGCCAGTCAGGGTGTGAAGGGATGAGAGGGGAGGCGGGTTAGGCGGGGCCAGACTATAGAAAGCCTTGTCCTGCAGGGAGGGGTCCTTCCTTTCCATTTGTTTATTCCCCCTCTCTTCTCTCTCCACCAAGAGAAAAATAATGACATAGGTGAAGTCTGCAGCCTCCTACTCATAACCCTTAATCCTGCCCTACTCTCAGGACTTGACACTCCTACTTCTTTGGCTTGAAACCGATCTTTTCTGTTGAAAAATCACTTGCATACACCACCTGCACATCCGAAGGTCTTTCAAAATGGCAACAAGACAATATGGTAAACCAGTCCTTGGAGATGAGTGCATGTTCCCAAATGCATTCTAGACGCCCTAACAGCCAGAGCCACCTTTTTAAAAAAATTTTTATTTATTTATTCATGAGAGACAGAGAGAAAGAGAGAGAGAGTCAGAGACACAGGCAGAGGGAGAAGCAGGCTCCATGCAGGGAGCCCCACGTGGGACTAGATCCTGGGTCTCCAGGATCAGGCCCTGGGCTGCAGGCGGCGCTAGACCGAGGAGCCACCCGGGCTGCCCCCACCTTTTCTTTAACAGCAGCAGACAACAGCCTAATGGAGAAGGGTAACAGTAATGCTGGCAAGAGGGTAAAGAGTGAAGCTTCACTAAAGTGGGGCTTTGGTCCAAAGTAGTCTGTGTAGGTGGGCATTTTTAAGAGCCATTATTTATCACGCTGTCTAGGCAAATCCAGGGCCCAGGACCTATGTGTCTTCCCTCCCTACAGCTCAAACTACAAGTAGTTTCCTTGCGAGGCAGAGCCTCCTTGGCACGTTCCTGGCACCGCCTGAGGACAGCCAAATCCTCGGGGCTGCGGCTCGGGAGGCTTCGTTAATCAAAATCATCACACGACCCCCTCCTGTTTCCTCAGAACCTCGCGTGAGCACCGCTGCCTTGGGCTGCCCCCAAATGGTAAGAGAACAGGGCAGGGCTCAGAACCAGCGGTGGGGGATCCCCGGGTGGCTCGGCGGTTTGGCGCCGCCTTCAGCCCAGGGTGATCCTGGAGACTCGGGATCGAGTCCCGCCTCGGGCTCCCTGCATGGTTGGAGCCTGCTTCTCTCTCTCTCTCTCTCTCTGTCTGTCTCATGAATAAATAAACCTTAAAAAATTTTTAAAAATGAATAAAAACAAGCGGTGGGCGGAATCCTCCAGGCGGACTGGCTGGTCGCCGGCCGCCGCCGGGCAGCCCGAGCCTCCAGCCGCCCTCAGCCGTCTGGCGAGGAGGCCCCTCCCCCGGGCGGGGTCGCTCCGGAGTCGGCGGCCGAGTCCCGCCCCTGGGCCGGAGCCCTAAGTCGGCCCCGCCGAGTGCGAGCGGCCGCCGCGCGGGGCATGGGGCGCTGAGGCCATGGACGGCTACAGGGGCTTCCTGGGGCTGCTGGTGTCGGCGCTGCTCGTGGGCTTCCTGTCCGTCATCTTCAGCCTCGTCTGGGTCCTGCACTACCGGGAGGGGCTCGGCTGGGACGGGACCGCGCTCGAGTTCAACTGGCACCCGGTGTTCATGGTCACTGGCTTCGTCTTCATCCAGGGCATCGGTACTGGGCACGCCCGGGGAGGCACGGGGTCCCGGGCCCCCATCTCAGCCGAGTGCGGCCGACGCGGGCGGGGCGGGGGGCGCGGGGCGCGGGGGGCAGCGGGGGCCCCGGGGGGCAGCGGGGTGCCGGGGGCAGGGGGCCGGAACCGCCCCGAGACGCCCTGCGGGGGGGCGGCTGACCCGTACGGCCGCCCCACTTGGCAGACTCCTCGCTGCGAGTGCCCGGGGCGCCCCGCCGGCATCCCGGGCCCAGCACCCCGGGCCGAGGACGGAGGCTGCAGCGCCGCGCGCCCACCCTGGGCCCCTAAGCCCCCCAGTCGCCCCCGGCGGGCGGAGCCTGCGCAGTCCCGGCCCCCGAGACGCTCGTGAGGCCTTGCTCCCAACTTTCTTCAGGGCTGCAGATTAGGAGAGGAAGGCAACGGGGTGGGGTGCGGGGGGGGGGCGGGAATTTGCCTTCCGTCCCGTCCTCAGCCCCGGGAGAAGGGCCGGGTCAGCCGACGGCCGCGGGCACTGAAGCCTGGGCTCTGGCTTCGCTCCTCCCAGGCCGTTAGGGTCGGGAAGCCGCCAGGCCCCCAGGGGGTGTTGGGCTCCCTGCCGGGCCCTCGGACAGACTGGAGCCCAACTTGTTGGTGTGGCTGCGCACCAGCGAAATCCCCCCGCGGGGCTTCCTGCGGGGCTTCCCGCGGGGCGCTGGCCCCTAAGGCGGGCCGGGGCTGCCAGGTGGGGCCCGCGGCCGCCTGGCCCCCGGGATGCTGCTGCCTGAGCCCTGAGCCCTGAGCCCTGAGCCCTGAGCCCGCCCTGGGCTTTGCTGTGCACGCTCCGGGGTGAGGCTGACCTGACCCGGAGGGCGGGCCCAGTTGGTGGCCGACTTTGTTTTTGCTTTGGGGATATAACTGACATAAAGCATTACGTGTTTCATGTGTGTGACGAGGCCATGTGTATGATTATATATAGGATTTATAGAAATCGGGATGGTCACCTCAAGAAGTCTGGTTAACATCTACCAACTCACATAACTACACTTTTTTTTTTTCTTGTGATGAGAACGTTTAAGATGTACTCTGTTAGCAACGTTTAAGATCTACTTTCCTACCAATGGCTCAAATATACAATATAATGTTATTAATGTAGTCCCCGTGCTGTACCTTACATCCCCAGGACTTATTTTATAACCGGAAGTTTATCATTTGGCTTTTTTGTTGTTGTGTGTGTGTGTTTTAAGATTTTATTTATTTATTCATGAGAGACAGAGACAGAGAAGAGAGAGAGAAGGAGAGAGAGAGAGGCAGAGACACAGGCAGAGGGAGATGCAGGCTCCATGCAGGGAGCCTGATGTGGGACTCCAGGATCAGCCCTGGGCTGAAGGCGGTGCTAAACCGCTGAGCCACCCAGGGATTCCCCTGGAAGTTTACCTTTTGACCACCTTCACCCATTTTGCCTGTGGGCCCTACGCCTCCCACCCCTCATCCCCCTAATCCCTGGCAGTTTTTATTGTGGTTGTGTGCTGCTGCTCAGTGTCCTGATGTTTCCTTCCTCGGCTGATTGGCTGGAGGAAGCTCTAGCTAGTGGTGCAAGCAAGCAGCATTTATTTGTAGCCACTTTTCAAAAAATGAAGCCAAGGCCTGGCAGATTGAGTATTTAGAAGAAGGTAGAAAGTGGTGGGCTGGTGTTCTATCTCAGAAGGTAATGGAAGAGAAGTGTAAAGGCTTCAGAAAGAGGCGCCCACCTCTAGATTAAAACCTCTAGCCTTGTCTCTGAGCAGGCTGCCTTTTCTCCACCAGTATGTGGCTCTCCAGAACAAACAAATGAACAAAACTCCAACCTCATTCCCAAATAAAAGACTTTTGTTTCCGTGTAAAACTTGTGCTGTAGGCGTCCCGCAGGTGTGGCCAGCATCTCCCCCTCCCCCCAAGTAGTGGCAGACATTGCTACTGCTTGGTCCACCTGGTTTGCAATAGGCGTGGGGGTGCGAGTGCCATCAGCCAGCCAAGTTAATGTTACGTAAGCTCCAGTTATTTTGCCATGGACCTAAAATGAGAAAAACATGCTCAAGTTCCAAAGTTGCTGTCATCAGAAACACTCTTTGCTGCATGGTGGAGCCCGTAAGTGTGGCCAGAGCTGTCAACATCTTCTGTTTGTTCAAAGAGTCTCTTGATCTCTTCCAACCAGACTTTAGAGCAGCTCCTAATACCAAGAAACTTCCCAGAGTATTCTCGTAATTGAGGGTAAGAGAAACACAGTTGGTATTAGTTGTTTCCTGACTTACCAAAGAGGAGATGGTCACAAAACAGTTGCTGACGTTCATTGAGTGCTTTCTGTATGCCCACTAAGTGCGCTCTTTCACAGGTATGTAAGGATAAGTCAAGGAACAGAGCAGTTAAGTACCTTACCCATGGAAGTGATATGTTTTCAGTGGCCTTATTTTCAAGCTTCATTTCTCTGCCTTTATGGCAATATGCCTACTTCCTGCAAAATATTCTTAAGAGAAGCAAAAAGCTTCATCTAAGATATACCTTAAAATTTGTTATTGGGCAGCCCGGGTGGCTCAGCGGTTTAGCGCCGCCTTCAGCCCAGGGCGTGATCCCGGAGACCCGGGATGGGTCCTGCATGGAGCCTGCTTCTCTCTCTGTCTGTGTCTCTGCCTCTCTCTCTCTCTCTCTCTCTTTGTCTCTATGAATAAATAAAATTTTTTTAAAATTGTTATTTGTGTTAAGAGTCCATTAGAGTTTTCCTAAAAAGATTTCTAGTTTCTCTAAACTTTGGGCTTTTCTTTATCTGTTTATACTTACTTTTGGGCAAAAACATGTAAATGGTGGATGCCTGGGTGGCTCAGCTGTGTAAGCTGAGTAAGTGTCCTACTCTTGATTTCCTCTCAGGTCATGATCTCAGGATTGTTGGGGATTCTGTTTAAGATTCCCCCTCCCCCACCTCCACCCTCAGCAAAAAACATGTAAATTGATTTTTTTTTTTAAATGGATATTTTGGAAATTTTCATCTGTTGCTTTTGTGCAAACCTTGTTTTCTTAAAGCTTAGTTACTGTATTTCTTTTAGTTTTGGAATGTTTGTCCTGTCAACACTCCCCATCCTGTTTACTATTTGGATTCCAGACTTGCAAAGCACTTTAATCAGATACTGCCCTTAATTGACATAAACATAAGCTTTTTCCTACCTACAGGCACATGCATAGTATAGGCACATGCATAGTGAGTTTTTGCAAATCTTGCTGGGCCAGCGTCTCCTCAGATCCAACAATAGAAGGTCTTCAGTGGAAGGATGTACAGTAAATAGTTGACTTTGCAGGCCAGGAGGGAAATACATGTTACAGACTAACCATATTAACACAGGCTTTTTTTTTTTTTTCTCCCCTGTGTAATTGTTTCAGGAAGGAAATTTTTAGGTTTTGGTGTTTCAGATCTCTAGTAATGAACATGATGCAATTGAGTTTGTCTGTGATGCACAAATATTTAGAGATGAGAAAGGGAAGGCTAAAATATGGTCATTAAGCATAAAAAGCATACAATACCCAAACAGTAAACAATATTTAAAACTATTTGAGAACAAATAAGAGACTTGGGAAGCACTTTAAGAAGTAAGCTCTGGAGTAAGCATAAAAGTTAAAAAAATAAATGTGTGTGCATGGGGTACACGAGGTACCTACACAAGGGAGCCCAAATATATTTTGGGAAATAACACGGGAGCCCAAATATAGTTTGCGAAATATATGTATTCTAAAATAGAGTATGACAGAGATAGGATATCTAAAACAAATAAAAATTTAAGCTAGTGGGGGTATCTAGTAAACATGAATGAGGAAGAGTTTCAAAGAGAACTTTAGAGGAGGCTTTGTGTTTCTCTAAAAGGAATGTTTCCCAGGAAATCAGAGAAACAACCCTTGAAAAGAAGGCCACAGAAAAGATTGAAACAAATAAACCCTCTCAAAGTGGCAGTTGACCTTTTAAAAGGTTCAGCAAGGTGGAATGTGTTATTTGGCGAAGTGTAGAAAATTCAAGTGTATAAATTTGGTGAATAGAAGTTTCAGCAATTCTATACTCCTTCCTTTTCCATCTGCTTGCTGTATAAACTAAAGGGAGAGAAACTGAATAGTCTTAATTATCTCAGGTTGGCTTTGTGAGAGAATAGAACTACATTTCAGTAACATTTAAAACAAAAAGAAACTGAGTATTTCTTAAAAGGAAGTTGGCATATCCTATTAATACATCTAAAAGTGACCAAATTCCAAGTCAACTTAAGTGTATTTGCAAAGGCTCTTGGGGTAGAGCCTGGCAAAGAAAGTGATGGAGAAAGTGCCGCAGACACTCCAAAGTCAGCCTTGGGGACACCACTGATAATAAAACCTACCAATTGTAGGTAGGGAAAGGGAGGGTTTTTACAGAGCATAGGCACACAATTCAAGGCAACCCAAAACACATTTTTTGTTATAAATAAATGCATGCAGATCTCTTTGTAACTGATGAATGTGTTTTAGAAATGATTATTTTGCTCATTTTTGTCTGACACCTAGAATGACCCCTAGAATGGCAGATGGTAGGCCAATAAATAGTTATTGGATGAATGATTGGTTCTGTACCATCATTAAATTGTTAGTAACAGAATGCAGTTCTACTCATTTGTAATGATAATAATAGCATCTAAAGTAAAAGTGCCCTCCCTTGTCCCTCAGTGATTATCCTGTGTAGCCAGTTTGGCAGCACTGATTTGTTAGAGAAGAATGGGCATCATATTATATTGGAAATGCATTGTTATTCTAAAGGCTTCAGGCTCATGAGTACTACCTGTGCCTCGTTGCCTACGGAAAGCCATCAAATCTCCCCTTTTCCTTCTGCATCATTAACTTTCACCAGCCATTGGATTATCTCCAACATGTTACAATTGCTATCATCTTAAAAACAACCGTACTCTTAACCCCATGTTCCCCCTTCAGCCACTGTTTCAATTCTCTGCTTGCCTTGCCACAGAACTTTTTGGAAATTTTTGTCAAT